AAAGATTAAGTAAGTTTCTTGAGATTTCTGGACGTAATCATCCGCAGCAACATGGCTTTACTAAAGGGAAATCAGCGTCAACGGCCGTCTTTGATTTTTTAAATAGAATACACGAAAATATCGACAATAACAAAAGTAGCATAGGACTCTTTATAGACTTGAGCAAAGCATTTGATCTTGTCAACCATCAAAAACTCCTAGAAAAACTTTGGCAAAATGGTATCAGAGGAGCAACATGGGATTGGTTTAAAAGTTACCTCGAAAACAGGGTACACTATGTTGAAATAAATGGAATCAGAACAAGTAAGTTAGTCATGACCACAGGGGTACCACAGGGGTCCGTACTAGGACTTCTTTTATATTTAACATATGTATCGGACTTCCCTTGCAACCAACCATAAAGAAAAAGATTATAGCATGTTGATAAAATCCAATCCTGGCTCAATAAGACAAGTGAACGAAATAAAATTTTTAGACATATTGTTGGATAACAAATTAAAGTGGAAAAGCCAAATTGAAGTACTATGCAACAAGTTGTCTGTATGTTACTTTGTTCTTAAACAATTAACGAAAACAACTGAAATAAAAATAATAAAATGTACTACTATGCTACCGCTCAGTCTCATCTCCAATACGGTATTATTGCTTGGGGAATGTGTTCAGACATAGAACGAGTCCTCAGACTGCAAAAAAGGGCGGTACGAATAATGATGGGGATTGGATACAGAGATAGCTGCAGGACGTACTTCACGTCCGCAAAAATATTAACTGTTATTAGTTTATACATATACATAGTAGTGACTCACGTGAAGACAAATTATAATAGTTTTAGAACGATTAATGATTATCATAATTATAATACACGGAATTTATACATACTAGAAATCCCAAAACATAATTTAACATTCTATAAAAATACTCCTAAATATATGACAATATGTTTATATAAGAAATTACCACAGTACATGAAACAACTAGATGTAAAACAGTTTAAATTAAAAGTTAAAGATTTATTAATAGAGAAGGCATATTACACAATTAATGAATACCTAGTAGATAACATATAATTGACATGTTTACCCATACCTACCTCTGTATGTGTTCGTATACTATGTTTGTACATGTCATTGTTGTATTAATTTGTAATTATATGTATTTGACTTATTCTACACAATTGTATATAATTGTCCATAAGAATTAATAAAGGTTATTATTATTATTATTATACATCCACTTGTTCGAGTTTTTGATTCTTTAAGTTCTTTATCATTGTTTTCGACGGCCATTACTTTTGACTTTGTTGGATTTATTTTCATCTTCCGTTTTTCTAGTTGTTCTTCCCAAATAGACAAGTTTCTTTGTAGGTCGCTATCTTTCTCCGCCAATATTACTAGATCCTCTGAAAATGCACATTCGGGCATTTTTATTGGTTCCTATTTATTGTATCCTACTTGAAAACTTTTTACTCTCTTTTGCGTTGCTTTTATCACGTCGTCCATTATTATTATGAACAAAGTAGGGCTCAGAACACCTCCCTGTTTCAATCCATGTTTTACTTCAAACATCTGAGACTCTGCGCCTTCTTTTTTTATTGTTTTTTGTAAATTTGGTTTTATTTTTCTTTGTTCCATGCTTGTTTAAATCCTAAATTTAAACAATAATTTGTAAAATTTAAATTTCCTCTTTACGTCACCAATAAGAAGGTCAAGACCAACGACGCGAATGTAGAACGCTGAAACATGAAATTGCAAGCACCAGAACTACGAAACGCTGACGACCACAAGAGCAGCATCGTCAGCGTTACGAAGACAGCGGTAATGGAACAAAAGAAAATACAAGAAACTGGGACGCAATATAAATTCATATGTCTTATTACCTTTAGTTTAGAACCACTCACACGCTGTAAATAGTTAGTTTTGTATAAATAAGTTAGGTTGTTTTGAATAAAATCAGTATTAAGCTTTATTGGCTTTTTACTCACTCCCACAATTCTACCCCAGAATTGTTCATGGTCCTTCGAGCCATTACTGAACCAGGTGCCACCTTCCAAGTCTAAAAACTAGGGCTGTGAGACTGCAGTCCAGTGGCACCTTCCTTAACATAGGCACCATTTCCAAGTCTACAATTTTCGGACCGTGAGACTGCGGTTCGGTGGTGTCTATTCCTTTTTACCCAGTGCCACCTTCCAAGTCTACAAACTCGGGCTGTGAGACTGCAGTCCAGTGGCACTACTCCTTTTTTACTAGAACACCATTTCCAAGTCTACAATTTTCGGGCCGTGAGACTGCGGTTCGGTGGTGTTCATCTCCTAATCCGGTACCATTTCCAAGTCTACAATTTCGGGCTGTGAGACTGCAGTCCGGTGGTACCATCCTTACACAAGCACCATTTCCGAGAGAAATTTCGGTCGGCGGTGCCCTTTATCCCCAGCACGCCTTCGCAAAATTAAGGGTGCAAGAAAAAATTCGTCATGGAAGAATTCAACAAGAGAGCCAAAGAGCAAGAGGATTTGGGGAAGAAAATTCAAACTCTCCTAACCAACGCGAGGAAAGACCCCGCAAAAAGAAAAACCCAGAATTGGCGATCCAAAAGAGCAGAGCAACTCGAAGAATTTTGGAATGAGATTCAGCGAAACCATGAAGAATTGAAGGTAGTGGGGCCCACCCTCAGAACTACCCACAATTATTTCGAAGTGAAGTATTTTGATCAGCTAAAAGCGTTGCACGAAGATGCGAAGAAATACCTCGAATCAGTACAGACGTCGCCCGACGTCGACCCGGAACAAAAAGCCCGCATCCGACGTCAATTATTCAGACTACAGAAAATCTCCAACGAGCTGACCAAAATAAACAGCGATTTAGATCACGACTACAGCCGAGCCAGGTATGAATTTCTAGCCGAAAAAATCCAAGGTCAGTGGAGAAGCATCATGGAACTGCATGAAGAACTCTACGTCCATGAAAGGGAATTCGAAGACAAATATTTCGCCGACGAAATGTACGAGAAGACTGAAGAAAAGTACGAGGTTGTGGTCGAAAAACTGAAAGGAAAATTCCAGTTCCCGTCCGCCCATCAACAGGAGAAACCAAACATCCAATTACCCCAAATTAAGCTTCCAACATTTAGCGGGAATTATGAAGATTGGCCCACATTTCACGATCTATTCAGCAAAGTCATTCACAAAAATACATCGCTCTCCAAAATTGAAAAGATGCAGTATCTGAAGACGTACATCAGAGATGAGCCCAGCAGAATCATTCAACATCTCCAGATAACAGAAAATAATTACCAAACTGCATGGGAGCTGCTGGAAAAAAGATTTAGCAACGTAAGGCTTACCGTAAGTAAGTTGTTAGACAAAATTTTGGATCAGCCAAGGATGCAAGAAGAATCAGCAGAAAAGCTGAAAAAATTACATGACACGACAAAAGAATGTCTAGAAGCATTAAACAATTTAAACATTCAGACCGACACGTGGGGACCAATACTCACCAAAATAATATCTCAAAAATGGGACACAGAAACAGATAGACTGTATGAACAGTCATTGAATAACCCACACGATATGCAAAAATTGGAGAAGATGATGGAGTTCCTGCAGACAAGATTTCTATCTCTCGAGATAATTACGGCAAACAAGCAAGAAGATGCCGAGTTTAACAAAGTGGAATCCATTTCCAACTTAAAATCATGCAGATATTGCGAAGACTGCCATTCAATTTACGAATGTCCTGAGTTCCAAGCCGAATCGCCAGAAAACAGATGGAGATTCATAAACAACGAACAGCTGTGTACGAACTGCCTAAGCCACGATGCAGGCAAACAATGCTTCAGCACAGCATCATGCCACAAATGCAAAAGAAGGCACCATACATTATTACACAACGACCGAAGAAACAACCCAAAGGTCAACCAGCAAAAAACATTCAACTCAACAAACAAACAAACTCCAAACTCTGGAGAGAACTCAACGAAGAAAATTCAAAGCCATGTAGGCATTGAAAACAAACAGGTACTTCTGGCCACAACGCTAATAAGAGTACGAACAGCAAATGGGACCTACGAATACCTACGAGCCCTTATTGACCCGGGATCACAGGCATCGCTCATAACAGAAGAGGCTGCAACACTCTTGTCGCTACCCAGAGAGCGCATTCAAGCTGATATAACTGGACTTGGAGGAGAAATACCGAACAAATCAAACTCCAAAATTAGAGTCGAGTGCGCTCCACGATTTTCGAGTGATTTCACACTCACAACAGACCTACTGGTACTACCAAAAATTACAGAATCTCTACCAGAAGAAGACATCGAAACAGATCTTCAGGTATGGCAGAATCATATCATCGCGGATCCAGTCTTCCAAGATAAGGGTCCAATTGATGTATTGCTGGGCGCGGATGAATACCGCAACATAATACTCAACGGTATTCAAAAAACAAACGATGGTTTAATGGGTCAAAAAACAGAATTCGGATGGACCTTGTCCGATACATTACTAAAAGAAGAAAAAAGAAACAACAAACGCATAACAGTCAAAAGCATGATGACAAGAAAAGAAAATCGGCAAGCTGGACGAATTGCGAAACCTGCTTCAAGACCAAAGCAAAATCCACCAACACTTCGAAAAATGGCATCAGTTCCAGTCACACCCAAACCTACCACACGGCCGGTGGTAGCAAATTTGGCTCCACCAAAAATCCATCAACAGTTAATACCAATAAAAGAATCCATGGTCCAGGCTGAACACACAAAAAGAATTAGAAAAGGAAGAAGAAGAAATACAGTCCGAACTTCAAAAAACAACGTGGCCAAAGATAACTCTGCACATTGTAAGATTCAACGACATCATCAGCAGCAACGTCCTAACAATGATCACGGCTGCAATCTGGGCAGCATGGTTCTTCATTATCGAAGAAAGCAAAGGACACAACCACAACCTCAAGAGGAGGCTGTCAAGATGAGACCCACTTACCCGCCAAGAGTATCCTAATTAACTATCAATCCATACCATTGCGTTCCCAGTGCAACCCTTCTACAAACCCCGTCGCCCCTGTCCATTTCGAGAGACCCAACATGTTTAAATCCTAAATTTAAACAATAATTTGTAAAATTTAAATTTCCTCTTTACGTCACCAATAAGAAGGTCAAGACCAACGACGCGAATGTAGAACGCTGAAACATGAAATTGCAAGCACCAGAACTACGAAACGCTGACGACTACAAGAGCACCATCGTCAGCGTTACGAAGACAGCCGTAATGGAACAAAAGAAAATACAAGAAACTGGGACGCAATATAAATTCATATGTCTTATTACCTTTAGTTTAGAACCACTCACACGCTGTAAATAGTTAGTTTTGTATAAATAAGTTAGGTTGTTTTGAATAAAATCAGTATTAAGCTTTATTGGCTTTTTACTCACTCCCACAATTCTACCCCAGAATTGTTCAATGCTTCTCCAAATTTCTTTTTGTGACACTCGGTCAAACGCTTTTTCAAGATCTAGAAAAGCCTTGTATAGTTCTTGGTTTTTTATTCTGTTTTTTTCTACAACCTGCTTTATAGTAAATACGTGATCTTGGATGCTTCTGCCTTTTCTAAAGACACTTTGAGATTCAGCTAGTGTGTTTTCTACTATAGTTATTAGTTTTTCGTTCATATGCTTTGGAGACAATACGTAACACTGTGATACCTCGGTAGTTTGTCTCCTTTCTTGAATATTGCCAGGATAATACCAATTTCAATAAGCCTCTTGGATCGAGATTTTTCAGCATCTCTGGTGTTATTTTGTCGTGGTCCGCTGATTTTCCCTTTTTAATTTGTGCTATAGATTCAATCATACGGATTTCACTGTTCTCTTATGTGTTCACGGAGGCTGTTAGAAACTTTCATTGTTTCCGTTATCTGTGTTTAGCAGTTCTTCAAAGTGTTCTTGCCATCTCTTCATAATTTCCTGTTCTTGGGTCAATATTTTATTATTTTTGTCTTTTACGAGTATCTGTCGTGTATCGGGTTGTTCGTTTTTACGCAAATTTTTCAGTACTCTATAAAATAACTTTTGGTTTCCTTTACTATTTTCTTCGAATGTAGTTTAAAATTTTTCCGATGACTTTTGCTTGGCCTAGATTACTAGATCTTTAACTCTTTTGCGCTGTTCTTTGTATCGTTGACAACAATTATTATCTTTGCCTTTACTTAGATATTTTTTCCATAATTTCTTTTTTGTTGCATTTAATAAACTGATTTTAAATTGCTACCATATTTCTTCTAAGTTCATATGCGTCCAGTTCCGCGTTGTTTCGTCCACTTTCATTTCCAAGCATTCCTTAAAGTTATTTGTAACTTCTTTTTCTTGCAGCTTATAGGATTTAATTGTTTCACTATAAGTTTTCAAATTTCCATTTTTCCTCTCCTCGTTTAATTTGCTGTTGTTAATTCTCCATTTTGCTTCTACCAGGTAGTGGTCGCTGTAAATTTCTGTTCCTCTTTTAACTTGTACGTCTTGTATTTCATTTCTGTTCTCGCTGTTAATAAGTATATAATCTAAGATCGATTTCTCATTTCGGCTTTTTACTTCTCCTGTATATTTATGCAGTGATTTGTGCATGAAGAAGGTGTTGGTCCGTTATTATTTCTAATATCTTCACCGTGCCTTCCGACTACTTGTATTGTATCAGGTCCTTTTCTCACCCTACTGTTAAAATCTCCTAACTGTATTATTTTGCCTTTTAAGTTTTCAGTTATCCATGTTAGTTCGTTCCAAAAAGCATCTTTTATCCTTGCGGGTTCATCTTCGTTGGGGGCATTGAGAATTACTAATGTTGTGCTGGTGCCATCTTTAAAATCCATTTCAATTTTTAGTAATTTCTCAGATACATAATTCCAATTTATAATATTTTTTGTTAGTTCTTGTAGAGTAGCATGTGTTCTCCTTCCAATGCTGTTATTCCTGGCCCTTTTTCTTCAGTTCAGTTATTGCGAAGATATCTATGTTTGCTTTTTCGAACTCTTGTATCAGTTCCTGTTCTTCTCCGTTAATCTTCTTATATTCCACGTGGCTACTTTGAGGTTAATTTTCTGTTTTTGTTTATTTCCCTAACATCATTTGTTCCCTTTTTAACCGTATTCATACCCTTTATCGGTGCTATTTTCGCCACCATGTGATTTCCGTTCCCATGCTTTATTAGTTTTTTGAAACCGTTTTTTCTAGCTGGCAGTTGATTTGGTCCACTCCCAGGTATCTTCGTTTATTGTCAGTTTGTTGTAACCAATTTTTACGGTTTTTTCTTTTCCTTTTTCTTCCTTTGCCCTTAGTCGAATCTGTCTGTTCTTTACTCTTTCTTCTTGAGTTTGGTCTTCGTTAATATATATTCTTTTTTCTTTAACTTTCTTTAATTTGTACTTGTTTTGCATGATTACTCTTTTGTCCTGCTCTTCTTCCATTTGTATTAAACATATTTTTTCAGTCACTTGGTAGGCATTTTTGATGTTTACCTTTACTTCTAAATATTGCTCTAGGATTTTTGCTAATTTTTCCTTTTCTCTTTTCCTACTCATTCGATCTTGCTTTTAATGTTCGTTAACTCCTGCTTAATTTCCGAATTTTCTCTTTTAATTTCTTCTTTTTTTTTCTTTAAGAATTTGTTTTCTCTTCTACTGGTTTTTATTTTCTGTATGTCTGCTTTAATACCAGTTATCATCTCTAGTACTAAATCTAGTTTACTCTCTTCTACTTTATTCGTTTTTAAAGGAGTTTTACTATTTTCTTTCTCGTCTGTTTTTGTGGGAGTTCGTTGCATTTCGGAGCTTCTTTCAAATGTTTGTCCTAGTTGGTCCGCACGTCTTTTTTTGATTGATCGTCTGAGTATTCCGAAAAATTGTCGCTATCCATTCTTGGCTTATTTTTGTGCACTTCTCATCACTGACTCGATATAGCGGTTCGTCCCTCTGCACTATTTTCCGTTTCAACAATTAGGAGAAAATATGCAGATACCGTTTTTCTATCTTATACTCTTTTGTGTTTTAAATTCGATATGTATTTAATTCGTGTGTTAAATTACTTTCTTATGTTATCCACTATGTAAATTTTGTGTTCACTGCTTAGAGGTCACCACTCAACTCCACGTCTTTATTTAATAATGCTAAAATGGAAATTATATTAATAATATTCACAATATTTTGTTCGATTTTGGTGTAAGTAATAATTTTAATTCTCTGTTTGGAGGCGAAAAACTTTTATGCGATGTATAAACATAAACACTTGAAGTTAGCATGTTATTATTGCTGAGAGAACATTGTTTCCCGTTGGTTATCTGCTTTAAATATTTTAATGTTCGTAAGTAGACTTTTCAAAACCAACTAGATGCTCGATATTTGTCGTATATGAAATATTTTCAACATTTATTTGTCTGCTAATACCTACTTGTTACATTTTGATTTAAAATATTTAAAACATTTTTGAATTTAATGAGTACTTTCGCATAAAAACGGATTCGTAACTATGTAGTTCGATACCCGTGTAAGATCTTTCAGCGTTCCGGTATTTAACATAATCCCCTTAATTCTGTGCGATCGGGCTTTGGTGGAAAAGCTCCGCGTCTGAATACTCTCTATACGGGAGGACATTATCGAACTTTATACACGTGTTCCTATAATCCTTCGAACCCATTGGAGTTGCAAACGCCACCTCTTCTACCTCTCTCTATCGACCGGTCAGTATTGTTTAACGTCGATTGCATTTTTCGCATTTTTATTTCTACGTGTTTTGCACAGATTTATAGTTATATGTAGTTATGACGCTCTATTCTGTATATTATTTAGAGATGAATATTTATACTGCGGCGCGGCGTTTTTTTAGCCCTACAAATGCTACACAACGAAATGAGCATTTTTAAAAGTTATTTATTTCTAAAAGTGTGGTTTATGCGACGATCAATAACTATTACCTGCTCGACGATTTTAAAAACATAAAATGGACGTATTTTTTAATACGGTTGATTACGATTTACAGCAAACTGCAGCGGCTATGCGTTTGGAAAAATTTTGTTTTATGTTGTGGTCGTTGCTAACCCAGATACTCTCTTCGCTAGAAGTACATGTTCACCTCTGTATTGATGTAGTCACGTAATTAGGTAATTAAAATTGGAACTAGCATCGCTTCGGCCAGAAACTCAATTAGCAATTAAACGTAACATTTTCTCTAATTACATGTTACTTTCTCACTAATTATGCCATTACACATACATAACGAAGTCTATGGAAGGTTGGCGAGCGATCGAAGAATACGTAAAACATTACGGAGGGGTTTTGAGTGGAAAATTTGATAAGATAATAAAGAACATCTGCATGCTACGATCGTTTCTTTATAATAATGACCAAACTGTTATAAAAAATATGACACAATAATTATGCTATAATAATAATATTTAATACAATATGCCAAAGGTACCGAGGCAAATAAAACTAGAAACTTATCTTGTACTTAAGATGCTGGTGCTAGCTGATATGATTGTCATAATGTTTAAAAACGCGTATCTATTCATGGATTTCCTTCTCATAAAGTTATAACTAAATCGATAAAAACTGTACGCATTCTCCTAATAGACGTCCAGTCTTATAATTTATTTTTCTAGTAAATAATTTCGTTCTATAGGCGTTCCGTAAATACGTGCAAATAGAACATCAAAAAATTTGAATATTTTATCCAAACTTAATTCATGTGACATGTTTGGGTCACGCCTTAAATTTAGTAGCTGAAATTATCCGGAATCAATATGAAGATATCAAAGGAAAGCCTTACTGGATTGTTAATTGCCTCCAGAACCTGTTCTGACAAGATGGGATACATAGATTGAAGCGGAAATATATTATTGTGATCATTTTGATGATATAAAAAAAATTGTTTTTGTTATTCATAATGTTGTTGTGTAATTCTGAATTAAATGAACGTTTTAGTTTTTTTTAGCCTAAAATCCGCTCTTTACGTCATGCATAACAAGCTACCCTTTTTGTGTTTTGTTCATTATTGACCATTAAAAAAATATATATTTGTAGATAAGCGCACACAAACAAGAGTATTTTTTAGTTTTAACACATCATGTATCCTAGGTTGTACTTGTAATATATTTTTTTATAAATGCAGCAATTTGAAAGTTCATTTCCGTCATTAGCATTGTCGAAGTGTTATCGTACGTATTGAATAATTCCTAGTTTTATAAAAATGCGTTCGCAAAACTTAGTTCTTAAGCTTTCCGCCGTCACTGCTTCACCTTTGTTAAAATAAAACAAAATAAATTTTATTACCTCTGCTTTAAGAGTTTAATTAAATTAAATTTAAAGAAATTAAGAAAACATTGCGTCTTAATCTATCCTGCCCAAAAAGTGTTTTCTTTAACAGACGACGGCGTAATCTCACTATCCACCCACACAAGAATTTGGGATACCTATTTGATTTTCCATCTTCAGAAATAAATCACGGCAAATCCTCCCAGCTCTCCGCAGAACTTGTCCGAGTAATCCGTCTGAAAAGGTTTTTCTCGTGTTTCTTAGCATCGGTAAAGACGCGTCGCGACGCTCGAGCGCGCGACGTCCGAACCTGAAGCAATCATAACTCTTGTAATATAATTATGATATTCCGACCGATTCCCACTTTATAAGCAAGAGAGGAGTGAACCGAAATGACTCACGCAAAAGTAAATTATACATTGAAAAGGCTTTAATATAATGAATTCATTCATATGCATGAGGCGGAGTAGAATGCTGGAGCAATATTTGGTGGCGTAATGAAATGAATTTATGCAGAGCTGTAATGCTTGAATATTTAGCATATACCCCTTCATCC